ACAACTTTTTTACTCGCATGTAATTACAGATCACCTACCTCCTAGATGTTCCACGACAATGCTTTAGTTGGATATGAAATTCAGCGCTCCATAAGATTTGTATCGGAACTAATTCAAGCGGGAAATTACGCGGGAATTTCAAATTTTAATTTTGGTGGGAAAATTTAAATAAAGCTTAAAATGTTTAAATATAATTTGGTATATTTGAGAAAAAAAATGCATTTGACATTTTTAAATTCAAATATACACAATACCATTTAGGAAAAAATAAAACAAAATGTAATTTATTTATTTATTTGACACTTGTAAAACAACTTTGTAATTTAGAATAGAATAAAAATATGCTATTATCACTGAAAATTGTACAATTTTATGGACAAAGCTTACAAAAAGTCAGAAAAATAGAAATTTAAAATTTACTGAAATTACATAAATCGTCAATATCACAAAATAAAATATAATAAAATACACAATGTATTCCAAAATTTAAATAAAGTGCATAATAAATTCTTACGAACTAATACATTTAAGTTTCTGCATGTGATACTGAAATATATATTTATACAAATAGTTTAGTTACTTGTAGGTACATAACACTATTCGTTAAGAAACTCTTCTACTGAATAATATGATCTTTCAGATAGATAGGACTTTGTTCTTTTACGGAACTCAATGAAAGAAGAAGTTAATTTAATAATTTATACCATGATTCACTTCAGGTAAAGTAATGTTTGTTAATTACATATTAGGGTTACTCACTTTCTGCTACATTTGCTTCCCCACTCAACATTGAAATACTTCTGGGATGTACATTAGAAGAAGAAATATCTAAAATCGATCATCAATCAGTTATTTGTTCTCTAATATCAAATATTTATTGGACTCACCATACAAATGTAAGCTAGGAATTGCATTTTTATACAATTTATGACTCCATGAAGAAATAAACTTATCTTCGAAGTGTCTGTGGCAGACTCGTTTTGTTTTAAAAACTGTACTAGCATTCATCATATCTAAATTAGGATTATTTATAACACTAAGCCACTTCCTAAATCGTGTAATGTCTTTATCAGGATTTGGAAAGGCATGTCTAATTAATGACGAATTGGTACATTGTAGGATACAACATTTATTGTGAAGAACCATATTTAACTAATTATTATTAATCTGCAAAATACTGTTTAAACACCGCCAAGAACATTTAAAACACAGATCACTGAGGTAGGGGATTTGTAATTTGCAATTTAACAAAATCAAAATATACACGCTAATATGACAATTGGCGATTGACAATTTTAATTCTTAGTTGTGTTCTAAACCTAAACTGTAGAGTAAAGGTAAAGACAGAGTAAAGTGACATCTGAAGATTTGTATCGGTACTACAAATGACATTTAGTTTAGTTTGATCTTGAGCTACCTACGTGAAACGTCTAGTTATTAGTGGTCTATGCATGTAATAAGCTTCTTACAACTCTCGTTATGTAATATACTATTATTTCACTAGACTTCAAAATTTGTATGTCAACAGTGTCAATTGACCCAAATATTATTAATAAAAATATTAAGAATTGTTTCGTTCATTATGTTTCAACTAAAACAATTTTGTTTTGTTTGAAAACTTTTATTTTGGGAACTTACAATGTTATTGTTTGGCGCTCCTCAATAAAATTGTAGTTACCATTTATTTAAAAAATCAATATCTTAGTCTTTTTAATAGAATTTATTAAACTTATATTAAACCACTAAATAAGAAATTATCATTGTTTTTTTATTTTGATTTAGATAATTATTGCCTATGGAATGTTTATGAGAAACTTGGATATGGTAGTACTTGGAGTAGATCTTTTAAAAGATGTATATAAAGAATATGCTCGACCAATAAGTGAGAATTTAAGAAAATCCACATTCAAGCATAGCTGCGCTGTAAAAAAATATTTTAGTATATATTGTTCGTTATTGCTATGTACTTACATCCTAGTGGGGTTAATTATAGATCACCGAAAACAACTTTACTATAGAATAATTAGAGATTTCTTTCAAGAGAGTGTCGGAGCTCTATTATTGTTTTTCCTATTTATAATGCCACATTCATTTATGTTTATTCTACAACCAATATTGATAAATTGTTACTTTTCATGGCATGCTTATTATTGCTTAAAAGCTTTGAATGAACAAATTAAAATCTTAATAGATTTTGAAATGGATGCCAAAACTTCAAGTTGCTGCTCTGTCGAATACCAAAAAAGAATTCGCAGTGATATGATATACTTTTGCTCACAACTTGAACATATTAAAATGTAAGTATTAATAATAATTGCTCATTATGACTGTAGACAAGTCAATAAAATTTTTTTTATAAATAATCTGTAGATGAATGTAGTACACAGTGATATATGGTTCACAGTGAAACACCGAAATTTATTTTTAAATTTGGCGCCCTTGTAAAGCGCATTTGTGAAATCTACAGTTTCTCGGTAGAGTTGAGTTTTATGTTTTGTAAAGGTTTGTATAGTCAGAATCCAGAAATCTAGGCAGTAAATTCTTGGAAGTAATAGTGACAGTAATTATGCGGACTATTGAGAAAGATGGGATTTCGTTTTCACAAGAATAGAAGAACATTGAAAAAGATTACATTGTATGTTGGAGACGAGATTATGTAAGAACTATTAAAAAGTACCAAGAAGAAGGGAAAACAATTTTTTATTTTGACGAGACTTGGCTAAATGAAGGCCATACTGTACCATACCTATGGGTTGATACAAATGAGAAAAGTCCCCGTCAGGCATTCATCGAAGGTGTATCTACTGGAATAAACAATATTCCCATTGGAAAAGGACGCAGACTCATTATAATAAATATTGGAAACGAATACGGTTTTTTCAATGGTGGATTATTAAGTTTTGCCTCAAAATCAACCAAAGATTACCACGAGGAAATGACTGCTGACGTTTTTGAAGAATATTTTGAGTAAATGTTGGATTTAATTCCAAAAAATTCTGTCATAGTCATGGATAATGCTAGTTACCATTCAAGACTAGCAGAAAAATTGCCAACAACGGCGTGGAAAAAAGAAGAGATAATCGAATGGTTGGATAAACACGCAATTGAGTACAAGGAGAATTCGACAAAAAAGGAATTATTACCTATTGTAAGGCAACATAAAGCAGCTTATAAAAAATATATAATTGATGAAATGGCAATAAACCGTGATGTAATAATTTTACGTTTACCCCCATACCACTGTGATCTGAATCCGATAGAAAATATACGGTCTCAAGTAAAGGGTGAAGTTGGACGCAACAACAAAACTTTTAAATTAGAAGACTTACAACAATTATTAGAACATTCCTTATCAAAATTAACTCTGTTAAATGCTGTTAGTCATGCCCACAAGCAAGAAAATAAAATGTGGAATTTGGATGATATGACTGATGCAATGCTGGAACCAGTAGTAATTAATTTTTTTACAAATCGGCCCTGTTACGGCCACAAATTATTTTATATATAACCAATAAAATAAACATCTTACATTTCTTATAAATTCATTAGTACCTGTTAATCTCCATCACTCCGACACTGGCAACTTTATTTAGGGATTAGTAACCGTCAAAACTATTGTATTCTATTCTGCTTCAACCTTTATACCTGGTGGCCATACTCAATTTAAAATTGTTTTCCTATAACTTCTGTAAAATTGTTAACAAATATTTATTTTTCATTGAGTCACCCGTATCAACAGTTTGGGGATTTGCATACATAATGTGCTATCAATATGATGGAAATGGACTATAACTGCTGTAACACTACGCTGTATATTGTTTTTTCTTTCATATTTGAAATGACGATACCTGGAGATGGTAAATCTTTCTTTTTGTTGGTTAGTTATGACTTTTTTAAAAATAGGTTTAGAAGTATTTGCAAAATCGATGATCATATTCTGGGTAACATCTATTACGCGAAACTGTTTTAACGTCTTGACTAATTTTCTCCATTCAGAAGTCAAGTATACTATTTCTTTTTTCGTTTTTCGTTTTTAATAAGACCAAAGCAATGGTCGTACAAAAGAAAACATCTTCAGCACTGGAAAGTAATGTATAATTTGCTGAATATTACTATTGAAAGCATTCATGCATGTATGAAAGAACTGCACTATGCTGTGATTTTTGTTTTGAGCAAAACAGTTGTCCGAAAATAAATAGAGGGTCGAAACAGTTTCCGGGACAAAGTTTGTTAAATAATGATGTAAAAAAACTTACCACTTCGTTACAACCTTTTTTGGCAGTGAGCTCATCGTACATATAAAAATAAGCCCCTCTTTTCTTGGCAGAATGTATACAAAAGTTGTATTGCCATAACTGCTTTTTATAGAATACGTCGCCTAAAGGAATATGTGGCAGTGGCAGGTTTTGTTGATAATCAAAGCTTAAGACATCAACTGATTCATCTTCGCGAGCAAGATTGGTATATTCCATTAATTTGGTACGCTTTTCAGTTTCCAATCGGGTTTTAGTTTCTGAATTGACCTCTGCGGCAATTGTGTTGTTTAAGCGGTCACATTTCTAGCAAGAATCTGATCTGGGATGACCAAATTGAGATGAGATTAAATTGCCGGTAATAAAAGTCATATGTTACTAGTGGCTTAATGTCCTTTAAATATTTCCCGTCTTTTAGGAGAACACACTTTTCTGGCTCATATTTGTCAGGGTACAGGCGATGCATTTTTGCAACATTCAACTCAGGAGATAAAAAATACCTTTTCTGATTATTTTTCCTACTATAATGAGATTTTCTTCTGGGAAAACTTCATATATGTTCCTCGATTTGCGCTATTATTTGCTTTTTACTGATTTTGTTTGGTCTATTGAAATGCTTCCCACGCTTATCGGAAGGTGACCCAGAGTCAGATTTTTGGCAATCGGACATTATTTTTTGATACTTCATGCAAAGAACTGAATACCTTTTTACATACAAACTATTATAGTTTGTAACAAAAATATTACCTTATACTTATAGGTGCCGTTTTCTTCTCTCTCCTCTCCTGTAGTCGGGCGTTTGCTTTGCACTTTTGACATGCTGATTAATCCTCCTAGATAAATGTCTTGTCTAGTTTTATCTCTCGTACTATAAAGCTGTTCAAGTATGTCCTGTTTGTGGGTATCGTCTACTTTAGTCAAACATTTATTTCTACAATGGCAATTTGGTCCAGTAGTTTTCTTTTGAATTAGTTTTTTTGCCGAATTAATATATTCTTCCCCTCTAGCCTGTTTACTTTTCATAACGTTTCGTTTCCAATTGCTTCCCATTCTTATCAATTTTTACCTTTTTTCTTAACGATTTGAATGTTTAAAGTTTCTGTATTATTACGCACAGACGTTTTTTGCTGTTCATTATTTTTATGGGTACCTTTTTTAGCAATATCAAAATGCTTTGCTCGATATCGACTAGGACCCGGAACATCAGAATCGTAGGAATCCGATGAAACGTAGTCAGTCCCAGAATCTGCATATGGATTTTCCTCACTAATTCACTACTTGAACTAATATTCATAATGCAACGATCTTTTTTACACTTTATTCATACTGTCGACACACTACTGCAGTATTCAAAGCATTTTAATTTCTAATAAAACTGTACTAGTCAGCTTAATCCTAAAATGTGAATATCGTCCGCTTTGTACCAATACCACAATATATTTCTAATAAATTGTGTACCGACATACTGTGCCACAATACCTCAACATGTAATTTCTGATCATCCCCTTTTTTACTGCCCTACATTCAGTACCATACATCATAGCTGGTCTAAAGGCAGTCCTATACAAGTTACCTTTTAGTTTTCTTGGTACCTTTTTTATCACACATCAGTCAGTTTGCCTCTTTCCTTTACCTTTAATTAAAATATTAGAGATAAAACGGTAATACCGATCCTAAAAGCCGAACATTATCATCTTTTATGAGTTCTTGTCTATCCAAGCCAACTACTCTATCTGGTCTTGAAATTTCATCTTTAAAAGAATATTCTAAATATTTTGTTTGTATCCAACTTAATTTTAATCATTTTTCTTCAATGACCTGTCTCCGCTACTCTTTTCTACTAATACCCAGGAGATTAGTTGTTATCTAATCCAGCACAAATGAGAATAAATATGGGCAAAACCCTGATTTTCACTCATTTTCACACAAAATTTGCCAGTTTCACTTGTAATCGTTTTAACACTATAATAGTTGTTCTAACACTATTATAATTGTTACACACACAGTAGGTTTCTGATATCTTCATCATGTGCTTTCTCAAATAATACTATGTAAATTCACTCTAAATTGTTAAATTAGCTCTTTTAATAAAAATTGCTGTTGTAGACCTGCCTTGCCTAAATCTAAATTGACATTAATCCATTTTCATTTTTTAGAACCTTACACTGAATTCTGTTAGATTTTACCACAAATGTAGGATAATAAAAAGATATAATATTGTGAATTGAGTGCTATGAAAAATTGTCATTGTCAACAAAATGAAGCAGAGGTTTACTGGAAATAACTATTGCAATATATTTATTCTTTATAAAAAATCTGGGAAATCAAAGGAGGGGGAGGCCGTTATTTGTTCAATGGCGAAGGAAAACCCCTCTAAACCTCGCCAGGGCCCAGTACATCCCGATTTAAAAATACAATTCTAATATAAAAGTCTACAAATAGCTTTATACAATAGCTTCATTACTTAACACAGCTTTAAAATTCAGGCCTAAGCTAAGCATTTATATATATATATATATATATATATATATATATATATTATATATATATATATATATATATATATATATATATATATATAAATATATATATATATATATATATATATATATATATATATATATATATAACAATGTTAAATTAACTTTCTTGTAAATAAGCATATAAAACTATAATAAAAATTCTATTATAATAACAAGGTAAAGGAAAGAGGCAAATTGACTGATGTGTGATAAAAAAGGTACCAAGAAAACTAAAAGGTAATTTGTATAGGACTGCCTTTAGACCAGCTATGATGTATGGTACTGAATGTAGGACAGTAAAAGAGGGGATGATCAGAAATTACTTGTTTCTGAAAATCCATATACTCATACAAAAAGCGGAGAGGTACTTAGTCCCTGGAAGAGAACAGAAAAGTTTAGAGGAAAATACTTAGAGAAGCCGATTCCACATAGAGAAAGCTAATGAGAATAATAATGGTAATGAATGTTCTAGAAATAAAAATAATAAGAGGAACCTCTAAATCTAAGTAAAAAATTACTTAAACAAAAAAATTAAAACAATATCTATATATCTAATAAAAAAAAGCATCACTAGCATTTTAATTTCTAATAAAACTGTACTACTCAGCTTAATCCTAAAATGTGAATATCATCCGCTTTGTACCAATACCACAATATATTGCTAATAAATTGTTTACCGACATACTGTGCCACAATACCTCAATTGTCATTTTAATAAACATGAAACCCGCCAATTTTTAAATTGGGACCCACCCACCAACCAATCACGTGAAAGTTAGGGAGCGCCTTATAGTGTCGTCTCTGATTCTCCGATGTTGCCAATGTTGCCATTGGTGGCAAGAAACAGTCATCTCCTGAAATTGACGGATTTTTGCACCTAAGTACTCGTATTTATTTATGTAGTCAAGACCTTGGGCCATTTATTTACTTTAATATTTATTAGAGATGGCTGATTCTTGCACCAAAAGATGTGCAAACGTTGTTCATATACGATGAATATAAAAGCTGAATTTGGGTAAAAAAAATGGAGTTGACTAGTTTTGCACTGAGCCATTCAACTATTGTTATCAAAATCATATCATTTTGATAAATAAATAAATTATTTTATTTTTAGTTTATTTTGTCAATCTTGTGATTTATATTTTTTAGAAAGTATACTTATAATTGGTTTTAGGGTAATAAATTATTACAGAAACTTTGTACAGTGGCGTTTCTTATGCATGGTTTTTACTGCGGGTGCATCATTGGGAGCTTTACTTATAAACATTCTGGTATGTATAAAATCATATTTTTCTTATTATTTTCAGGTATTTTACATACATGCTATTTTAAATCGTTGTTTTTAACACTTACAGAATTAAATAGCTTTATTCCAAAATGTACCAAGTCCAAATTGGTGATTTTTCAGTATGATCGATTTTCTGCTGTGATTAATAAGTACTTGCTAGAGAAAAGATTTTTGCAGATTTGCGTATCCTTCTAGATAAACACATTTAATAAAATATGGTCTTTTTGTTTTTGTCTTTATAATAAAATAAAAAAAATTATATAGAATTCCAAAGTAAAACTAAGTTCATGGACTAAAGGTACATTTGAAATATTATTGAAAGATTCAATAAACTTAACAAACAAAAAATCGAATACATTAGGAATTGAACTACAGAAAAGCTTTGTCATTGAACACGGCTTCTCTAGCAAGTCGTTATTGACACCATCAACATTCTGCAGTGCATGTTCGTGCATCAACATATTTTTCTTGTCAAAGGGAGTGCAATCGGACGGCCACGGCGATTTAGTTTTAAAATAAAGAAATCTTCTGTTTGTTAAGTAAATTTTTTATAATAAATCAGTCCCCGTAATAAAACCAGTAAAATACCAAATTTTGATTTAATTTTCCATATATTTGTTGCATTTTTTCAGGCATCTATTAATGATGAATAAATCTTTTTTTTTTATTACCAAATAAAAAAGATTTTTTAAACAGAATTTTATTTTTGGCAATATAATTGTAAAATTTTAAGTTGGCACTTATGACATTGAGGCTTATTTGTAATTGGAAGCTATTCTAAATTATTTATAAATTGAATTTTTTTGTGTTGAGAAACTTTTTCAAAAATTATATTAGAGAATTTCAAAGAAACATTTATTAGATAAGAACATTTTTAGAATTAGATATTATTAGTTTTTTTTTTAAATATGGTAGCAGCAATTTATTAACAACACTAATTTTTTTTTGGTAAGTTAATAATTTTTTTTCTAGTTCCACTTTGTAAGATATTTTGTATTTTTAGCAGCTAATAGTTGTCAAACACAATTGAAAGCTCGAGATAAAAAATAGTTAACCAATAACCCGTTTTATTGACTCCAACCCTTCCAAAACATAACATACATATAATATATCAATAGAAATAAAAAGAAACACCAACGCAATAAATGACAAAAAGATACACAAAACCTAAATAAAATATATTTCAATCTGATTTAAACATAAATAATATAACATCATAAAACGCTCTTAAAGTCATAACATATCTCCACCTTACCTTTTTCGAAAACATCAACGATACGCCCATATAAAAATAATTATATACTAATGACAGTAAACAATGAGATATCAGATATCAACTTTTATATGCCAGTTCGTTAATGTCTGTGTCACGTTTTACGTTTTGGTAAGTCATATATATATATATATATATATATTATATATATATATATATATATAAATATATATATATATATATATATATATATATATATATATTTTACAATATCTGTTTGTCCTTATATATATATACACATTTTAAAATCTTGACAAAGGCAAGGGTTTCCTGCCGAAACGTTGCTTGATTGCAATGGAAAATAAAATCTAGTTCCACATGTAACATATCTCTATTGAACCTAAACCCAAGAAACATTAATTTTATATTACATATAATACGGTTCAAGAAACTTAGAACTACAATATATATATATATATATATATATATATATATATTATATATATATATATATATATATATATATATATATATTAAATCATTAATTTTTTCTATTTTTTGTTTAAGATGGTAAAATCAAGAGATGTCTTACCCCAAATCTTTTTGAGTATAATTGGTGTACAAATTTTTTATACTGTGTCAGAGAGTGGACAGTATTTACAAAACGAGGTAAGATAGTCTAGACATTTTTTTTTTCATAAAAAAGTGTTTTAATTTACAGCTAGTAATAGCTAATAGCTAAGTAATAGCTGTACTATAGTAAATGGGATGTGCTGATTACGGATCTATATCTGTAAAGTATGTTTGAAATTGTTGATGTTCTTCTTAAGGTGCCCTCTATATTACTGAAGTTTAGTTATAACTACGGCAAATTGCTCTCTATATTAAGCTCTTCTTAGTATCGAGTGTGACCATGCCTGTCCAGTCTCTTAGATTTTTCAGCCAGGAGCATCTTCTTCCTGGACCTTTCCTCCTTCCACTTTCCCTTCTATTATCAGTAGTAGGAAGTTTTATTTTTCTCCTGTTC